GACCACTTGCCCATATTTCTCATTGTGAATTCATCTATGTTGCCCTTGCATCCTTCCGCAGATCAGCACTACACATTTCAAGATATTAACCCATTCACTCTTGATAAATTCCGCGACGAAATCTCGCGCATAAGCTGGCAAGACGTGTACGACGAAAGCGACTGCGACAAAGCGTACGAGTTGTTTTTATCCGCATTTAAGAGCGCTTACGCAAAATCATTCAAGCGTAAAACAAAAAAAGCCAGAAAAGCAAGAAAGCCATGGATTAATGACAGTGCGTTGAAATTGATAAAGCAAAAAGATGCTCTTTTTAAACAGTTCTTAAGGACAAGAGACGCAGTAGTTTTAGCCGCGTTTAAAAAACTCCGGAATAAAGTTAATGGGTTCCTAAGGGCAGCAAAGACACAGTACTTCGAGAAATTGTTCCCTGCCGAAACGATAATGCGAACCGATGTCACATGGAGAAAGCTAAATAGTTTACTGCATGGAAACCAACAGGCAGATAATCTAGAGGAGTTAACAGTAGACAGTGAGCTCATTTCAGGCACGGCCTTAGCTGACGCTTTTAACAACTATTTTGTGTCACTTGTAAATAGCTCCTATGATCCCCAATGCATAAAATATTTAAAACCCAAAATCGTTCACAGTGCATTCCTAAACCCGACAGACACTCAAGAGATACAAAGCATGTTTCGCAGTATTCGGAATAGTAAAAGCTGCGATATCGATGACCTGCAGATTCGCCCAGCAAAGCATGTACTAGATCTAATCGGTCCTGTCTTGGAGCACGTGTACAATCTTTCGCTGGCGAACGGCACATTTCCAAGACGCATGCAAATCGCGAAGGTAACAGCACTTTTCAAATCTGGCGACAAAAACAAGTTCTCGAACTATAGACCAATATCAATTCTGCTTATTTTTTCTAAATGTCTCGAGAAGCTGATAAATGTAAGAATAACCTCATTCTGTAACAAGCACAATCTTCTTACAGATTTTCAATTCGGATTTAGAAAAGGTCGCTCAACTGAATTAGCATTATTGACCCAAAAAGAAATAATTCTGCAAGGCTTTGAAGAAAATTTGGTGACCCTTGGCATATTCATTGATTTTTCAAAGGCCTTCGATACCATCAATCACAACACTTTACTACTTGATATTTACGGCTTTAGAGGAACATTTCTGAAATTAATTAGAGGTTATCTGCAGTATAGGTATCAAACTGTTGTTAAAGGCAATCACTATTCAAAAAATTTACCGATACGTGCTGGGGTCCCGCAAGGGAGCATACTTGGACCACTATTGTTTAACATTTATATAAATGATTTAACGAATATTAAGACTACGGCGCGATTTGTTATCTATGCGGACGACACTAGTTTATTTATCACTTCTAGAAACGTTGCCGAACTCATCAGCACTGCCAATGATACTCTAGAACAAATAAACAAATGTAGTTTATCAAACTCGCTAACTATTAATGTTGCCAAAACAAAAGGCGTGCTTTTTCAACCAAAGAATAAAAAACAAGTAGTCCATGGATGTCTCCAGATAGGAACTTCCGGGATAGAAGTAGTACCTTCAGTCAAAAGTTTAGGCGTCATTTTTCAGGAAAACATGTTATGGAATGAACATGTCAACACTATTGCCAATAAGCTTGCTCGAGTCACAGGTATACTAGTAAGATTACGCCTCTTGCTGCCATTGAAAGTGAAGCTCTTACTTTATAATTCTCTTTTTCTATCACATATCAATTATTGTCATCTCGTATGGGGCAACACAACCAGCTCAAACATCAACATTTTATTCCTTTTGCAAAAGAAAGCCGTTCGAACGATTTTAAATGCTCCATTCGATGCACACACGGACCCTATTTTTGACCAGTTAAATATCATACCATTAAAGGCAGTGTACAATACAATTTTGCAAAAATGGTTTTTAATAGAAAGAAAGAATAGCATGGGTTTTCTAGAGCAATTGTCAAGGCTCACATTAAATTCAAGCACGTTCAGTACACGTCACAAAGAAACCTGGCATGTTCCACATTGTAGAACAAATTATGGAAAACAAATGCTACGTCATGCCTTACCATCTTTGCTAAACTCTCTTCATTAACTGCCATATTTCCCCTCCCGAAGAATCTGGTTGTGCCGATCATACATCTCATTCGCTATTGTGTTTTAAATGAACATGCATTTTATGTTAAAAGTACAAGGCGAAGCGTTTTTGAACTTTTGTATATTCATTAGTGAATACTTCTTATGCTCGTATTTTTACTATGTATTTTTGTGTTGAAGGTGTATAGCGACGCGTTTCAAACTTTGTATATAAATTTGTTCATTGTTTTCGGATGCAAGTGTTTTAAATTATCTCTATTTCTTACTGTGCGTGTGTGTACATGAATCTGTTCTTGCATTGCATTTTTTATCTTGCCCGCCAACTGTTTGTTGCGAAAGAAAAGGGGCACAGACCTCGTCAAGCCGTAATGTGGCTTTTTGTCTGTGTCCCTGTTATCTGTACAATGTATAGATGCGAAATAAAGTTCAAGTTCAAGTTCTTATTATTTTGCATACATTTCTAATATTTTTGCAGTTATGAAGATTAGAAGCTTGACGACTGCTGGCATACTAGTTTATGTTTCTCAAAGAGATGTGGACATCTATAAATCCAGAAGCCCGGAATATAAATTTCGAAAAGTGCGAGGATATCCAAATGCAGAGCTGTGAAATGTTATGGTCACACCTCTTATTTAATCTCTATACGAAATTTCGATTCAGCAAAGCATTATAGAAGTATCGATGTTCATATGCCTCATGACTGGCATGTGTAATTGCACAAGTTTTTCACTGCCATTCAGGGTTGTTGCAAGTACTGTACTGAGCATGTGTTCCTCTCTCCCCCTAAAATATCCCTGGTGACGGCACTGTTGCCAGCACCATAAATGAAGCAATGCAGGCAGTGACTACAGTGCCAAATGCATGAAACATCTCGACATTGAGGTCTCGTCATACAAACTAGCTTATCTCAAACTTTGCGAATGATTGGGCTACGGCCCAAGTGGTGCAGGGGTTTACTGCGAGAAGAAAAAAAGTAATAAAAGTGAACTGCTCTCTTAGCCCTTTCAGATACCACCTACGAAGAACTGTATGTACTTGTGTGAAACTGACATTTCAAGGCACTCGATATTCTATTGCAACAAAAATAGCGGCATAGCACGAGGTGCATTAAAAAAAAAACCGAACTTGTGCTTTACTGTAGTCTTTGACTTTGTTTCTCGGCCACAACTATGGCCAAACAAAAAATTTCATCTTGGAAGTGCCGCCTGCTGCCTTAGTCCATATCACAACTATGCGACATCTGGTGGAGGTGGTTTTTTTTATGTTCTGGGCACCCCCATCAAGCCATGAACCCAGCTCCAGTGCCGAAAAAGATACCCGACGCCGACCTTGAGCCTGTAATCTTCAACTTCTTCAAACATTAATGTTTTTTAGATTACTGCGTGATTTTTAATAAAATAACTAGTGGTAATGGCAGTTCATTTCTCCAATCTTACCTCAACACTGTAGCAGCTTGGTGCAGCACATGGCAAATAGATTTAAACATGCGTAACTGTAAGCAAACGTGCATAGGAAGATATGCAGACATCTTGCTAACATACTAGATAAATGTCCTACGCAATCGGGTCAACTCATATAAATAATTAGGTGTTCTTATCTCGGTGTTCTTATCTCAGGCACCTCACACTGAATATGTTACTAATAATGCCAATTACAAGTTAGGCTACATACATTGCACCTTCTCAAAACACCGATATACACTAAAACTACTGCTATATGAAACATTATTACGTCCCAAACTTGAATATGCCTCTTCTGTGCGAGACCCTTGCCACGACAACTTGATTCACTTGTTTGTACAGAATAACTCCATCCGCTTGAAACCTTCTCACTGTAATTGCATTGCTGGTATAACTTCAATGAAATGCAGCCGAAGCCTTACTTCTTTTGCACCCCCTTGGAAAATATCCTATTTGGCTTCATTTCACGAATTATTCTGTCATACCACCCCACATGACCAACTAATCCTGAATCCTCAGTACTTATTTCATTGCAGTGACCACGTCATAAGGTTGGCATCGCATTATGCAACTCCCAGTGTTTTCATCTTGTACATTGGTACATTGAAACCAACTACCTGAAGACATGTCCCTATTAGTAATTGTTTTCCAATAAACTTTACTCAGTATTCTGTAAATATCCAAAATAGACTAACTAACATTCTGTATTTACAGGCTGAATTATGTATTGGGTTTGTTGTCCTTACACAGCTAACATTATATAATGATGAGTATATTTTTTGTTTAATAACTATAACTTTTCATGCTGCATTTTCTTTGTCTACTTTGTACCAGTCCCCACTATTATTGCCGTAAGGATTTTGAGAGTAAATAAAATAAAAATAAATATGTAACTGTATGCTGCAAAACTAAGTTAAATGAAGAGATTAGAAAGTCAATACAATTTGATGTTTCTTATCCCCTACAAATACAAATAGAAAAATCAAGGGGTGTACACAATTGTGTACATAGCGTGTCAAACGGTTGACATTCACCCAGCATTCCTTGCAAGCACTGAAAGCCGATGATTCAGTCCTTTTTATGCCAACTTAGTCGGACATCAGGGGTTGGCACTCCTTTAAGAAGAAGTGGAGTTCGCTTGTTTGGGATTAAACAAAACCAACTTCATGCTTCAAAAACTAACATTTTTCAGGCAAAGTAACATGAAGTATCAACATTTTTAGGCTTGCTCTTGTAATTATTAGTTCATTTATAATTTTAGTGAAGTAAAAGGATAAATTATGTGACAGCTTTGTGTTAGTATTAACAACAAAGCATTCAGAAATACTACACAAAGGCAGCTGCTGTCCCTATCACAGTACATGTCCACAATGAGAAGAACGTTAGTATACCTTGTGGAGCACATGTGAGAAAAAGACTCGACAGGTTTTCACACAACCAATGTTTTCTTTATTTTCTGTCCCCCTCGTGCCAGTATTGCTGCTGCATCACACGTGATCACGCGCATCCCCTTCTTCCATCACGACGCGATCCCCTTGCTGTTGGTGGCACTACAACCCAGTGGCATTCAAGCCCTTAGCACCGAGGTTCACACTGTTTTTGGTGGCCAGCCTGCAAGTAGGAAAGATACCAAAGTGTTTTAAGTGTCGAGTTCTGTGACCTGTTTTCAAGTCAATTTTTATTCTCGTTTCTCAGAACTTTGCAAGGAAATATGAGGAAATGGAAACAGTCAGCAATCCTAGATGTATCAGAACTATAGTACAAGTCAAAAAGAAGGCAGGAAATTGAACACAGAGAAGCACACAAGCAGCACAATAAAGAGGACCCCAAGACATAATGCATACACCATGAGAAGTGCATTGTCGTTGACATATTTTGATCACTAAGCTTACCAGATATATTTTCGGCAACCAGCACACCTACAGCGTACTGCACATGGAGATGCATGTCAACTGTGGGCACACAGTATTGAGTTAACAAGGCTCACATTTTTCTATGCTTCATGGGCATGTAGGACTGCCTTGTGGGGGTGCGCGGCAATGGATGGTGGAGCTTGTGCGCTGAGAAGCAGCAAAGGTGGCTCAATAAGGAATGAAAGCACCATTTGCAAGAAAAAAAAAGAGAGTTCAATTATTTTGTATTAACGGCGTGTTACTATTATGCCTTATTGTACCAAACTCATGAAAATGAACATTGGTGATTTTATTATTTACAAGTAGGCAAATACACAAGTGAAATAAAAACTGTCTGTTTGCATCATTTTTCACACACCCCACGGGCATCGAGAGGCTAGACGAGACCATCTGAAGCTTCTGGTGGGTAAGGTACAATGACGATAAATCTATTCTAGCTTTATTTAGCGCTCATAAGTATGTAGGATGACTGCCAGTTGGGCGTATTGGTAAAGGTTCATGATGAAACAAGCGCAAACAAGTGCAGTGTCCTCTCCGAGTCTGGGCTTATAAGTAATTTAGTCATTCAAATGCAAGCTCTGAAGGCCAGAATGCAAGGCAGCACCCCAAGTAAGTCTTTCACTTTCAAGTGACTATGATAGTCCTCCACTGCTTTGCTGTTTTGTATTGCAATAAAAAGCATACGTCTGAAGTGTCCAACATTCCAACGGCTTCTCTGGCGAGTGTGTAGAAATCCTCGGAAAAAAATTTTTTATTCTGCATTCAGTCTTCTTCCATCGGAGTGATGAACGCCCGAAACGATGGCTGGTGGACGTGATCACAGTGGTGTGAAAGTCCAAAACTGAAACCGTGTGCAGTTTTTGCAAGGCCTTCACCAATAATACTTCATACACCGTTCTGGTCGTATAAAGCATGGAAATTGTCAGATAATGTATTACCGAAGTTTCTCCAGCTTTGTTTAGTTAGCCTCAAAAACTACCACAGTTGAGGGGAAGAGTTTGTTCCAGCAACACTGGTACGCCAGCATTGTGAAACGAACTGTAGTGGTTTTACTCCTGCCAAGTGTGCATGCAACTAAAACAAACATGAAATGTCCTTCACAAAACAGCAGAATGTCCCCGCTGTCTTGCAGTTGTGTTTAGGTGTTCTGCCTTGCATATGGGATGAGAGCCAGCATGGGCAACATGATTAAGCGAAACGTGATGGCAAAATGTTCTCCAATGTTAGAACTTTGGTAAGTACTGTTGTGCACTTTAAGCACAAAGGCTCGCGCAACATTACTCAATGACATTGGACGGGCAAGGTTTGAAAATTTACTGAAATCAGTTGTGCTAATACTTGCCAAAGACTTTTTTGTTGTTGTTGTTGAGAGCGGCGCCAGACGCAGCACTCGCTTTTCTCCACCGTAGGCAAGCACGCGACCATCCCGCCGGCAGTGCCACGATGCCCCTTTGAACGCGTGATAAAACAAGCAAAAGTACTCTCTTGTGCAGTCTAAAGTTGCCTCAAGGGAATGAAATGCAATTTCAAGTTAAACATGTTTGTTTTTAAGCAAAATCAGCCTACTTGCGAGCATTTCTGTGTGGATAAATAGAACCACATAGCTGCTGGGTGATGCCAGCAGTTGCTTTGTAGATTTTCAACATCAAAATTACTCTTTTTATATGGTACAAAAACATGCTCATTGGTGCTGATGAGATTAACAATATTCTCATTTTCACCACAATGAGCAAAAAGTTCTGTGCAGTAGACAGTTCCTTTAAAAAAATTGTACCTGAACATTACAGCTTCATTGCACTAGAAATGCTGGAAACTGATTACAAATGTCGAGCCCTCCTCGCAGCGAATTCCGAATACGCATGAAACCTGACAAGACAGCTTGTATATGCTTGGTAATCTTCAGTTCTACCATTCAACATTTGATTGAAAAATATAGGCCTCCAACAGTTCGCCCTGTCAGAAAACATGCATGTGATTTTCGGCCACAACTTCTTCCACGCACCTGTCCAAAACAGTCAGAAGAAGCAAGAACTGCAAGGTTTAGTGATGGGCAAATAGTTATGTGAGGTTGAAAAAGTAGTAATTTGGTTGAATCATTTAAATAAAGCATTTTTATTATGATCCAATAACCTTAAAAGTTTTACGAATAAGAATTAGGCTTGTACGAATATCACATGCGCTTGTGTAATTTCCTCGCCTCTTAGCAGTGTCCTTTTTTGCTCTTATACCAGGAATGTCTCTTTCTTGTAGATATTAGTGAACTCACTTCAGAGTCTACTCACTCTAACTCGGATCGAGACGCTAGTCTCAGAATGAGTTAACATTTCTGTGAGTGTGCGTCTAAATGAGTCCGTCTCTGGAAAATTTTGGCGTTTCTGAGTCCGAGCGAGTCCAAAGTGCAAAATACATTTCCTGAGGGAATCTGAGTTCGATTTTTGTTTGCCAAGCTTTGGTCATACCTACTCGTCTTCAGTATTACTATCTGCTTTACCTAGATCAGAGTTCATACTCGCGTCAATGCTCACATATTTCAAAGCCGTGTCTTTTATATACCATTTGAATATTTATTGATCAGTGGCATGAATTACATGGTGGAAGGCCTCGACCTTTCCCTAACCATTGACAACTAAAGGAAGTTGGTGATAACCTCTCCTTACATACATCTAATAAAAAAAAAAGTTGGTGATGAATATATATTGCGCTGTCATCTCTTTCAAGAAAAACGACCTTACTGGTTTACGAGCACTCGTAACTCGTATTCGAAGGCACCATATGAAAAGGTGCCAAGAAGAGCATCGATTACGTGAAATTTCAGTGTTAAAAAGCACTGGCATTGTGGTCGAAAAAGACAGTGAGTCCGAGCGAGCCCAGCTGAACAAATTTTTGTGATAGTAAGTACGGCTCCCAAAAATGTTTATTTAGTCCGAGTCTGAGCAAGCTCCATAAGTTTTTCTGACTTACGCTACCTTGGTGTAAGGAAAGGACACAAAAGTGCTGTGTTTAGGTACGATTTGTGGCTAAAAGGACTTAAAAGCGCCGAGGAACGTCAAACCGAAACTGAAGAAGACGAGCGGAGGGCAGGTGGCACGAAGGCGATAACAAGAAATGAAAAAGAAGAGGAGAAGAAGAAGGAACGTGCGAAAGCGAGCTCGAGGGTGGAGGCCACGAAGGCAGAGGAAGCAGTGCGCCGCTCGAGAGGACGAGTTCCTGGGAGCGTTCCTGAGCCGGACGTGGGACCCGTACGTGTCGGCCAGGTCGAGCTCCGGTGTGTTCGTTCGGGGTCGAGTCCGCCGGCCTGTACAAGGTGCAAGGACGGGGCCTGCTGAACGGCTCCTGCCTGGGTGCAGTGGCCGGGAGCCGGTTCGTGGGCGAGGCCTACCGGGCGTGGTCCTCGGGAGCCGGGGCCTGACCCTGGACCTCAGGAGTTGAGACCCTGACTGCTGGGCTGGCCGCGACGTCCGACTAAACGGCGCTGCACACGGTAGCGCATACGTGTGCCATCAGCCGTTCCAGCCGTGCCACCTTTGCCCTCGCGCACGTCGACGACCGCATCATGTCGGGACGACGGGGACCCAAACTGTGAGGCAGCGGTTTCCTCTTGCGAACCGAGAACTATACGTGCTGGACTCGGAGTAAGCGTAGCCGCGAGCTCTCCGCATAATAGAGGTCTGACTCTCGTACATGTTGCGTGATGCTTGGCGTGTAGGGTTGGGCATATAGTTTTATTTTCACCTGCCACTTCGTTCTCTAGTGTACAATATAACGCTTCTTTTGTTCGCATCCATTGTTGATGTTAATCCTTTCTCGTCTGCTATCAACAAACATAGTGACGAACGTCCTTAACCACTACAATTTCTGGCGTCCGCGAGACAGGACTAAGCTCTCGCCTTACATCTGAGAGCCTCACGTTGTTTGTGTGTGGCGGACGAGGATGGACGACAAGAAAAAGCTAGTTGAGCTAGGGAAGGAGATGGGGCTGAGTGGTGAGGCTTTGCTGGCATGGGTGAGCGCTGAGGAAAAATAAATGAGGGACCAGAGAGCGAAAGATCGAGAGGAGGCACGTCTAGCAGCACAGGTGGAGCATGAGCGTGAAATAGCTCGCATGGAGGCTGAAAGGCTCCTGCTCGAGGAGCGACGTCGTGTCGCAGAAGCGCAGCGGCCGAGCACGAGTTCTGCGGACGATAGTATGTGTGGTGGTCAGAGTTTTCGCAGCCCACACAAAATGATTCCGCCCTACAATGAGAGTAGGGACGAACTGGATGCGTACATCCAGAGATTTGAGAGGGTTGCCATGAGCCAAGGCTGGCCAACCGACAAGTGGGCCCTGTCACTGAGCTTGTGTCTAACGGGAGAAGCCTTGACCGTGGTAGGACGGATGTCTGCAGAAGACTCTACGGACTACGCAAAGCTCAAGCAGACGCTCCTCCAGCGGTTCCGTTATAAAGAGGAGGGATACCGCACAAAGTTTATGGATGCCCGGCCCGAGAATACTAAGACAGGTCGACAGTTCGCGGGACGTTTCTGTGGATACTTCGACCATTGGCAGGAGCTGGCGAAGACTCCCAAAACATATGATGCACTGCGAGACAAGATGGTGTCCGAGCAATTCCTCAGGCGGTGCGACAAGAAGTTGGCTGTCTTCCTGAAGGAGCGAGGATGTCATAACCTGGACACGTTGGCAACGATGGCTGATCAATATTTGGAAGCTCAGGGAATAGTGAATCTCGCTAGAGGAAAAGACGAAAAAGGGAAAATGATGGCTACAGCTAAAATTGACACTGTCAGCGAAATCAAAGGAAAACCGCTTTGTTTTCTGTGCAACAAGCCGGGTCATCGAGCTTCCGATTGCTGGACAAAGTCTCGAGCGCCCAAGTCGACGTCGTGCTGGATCTGTAAGAAGTCAGGGCACAGATCCGATAGTTGTCCCTCAAACTCAGAAAAACGTAGAGAGGCATCATGTTCCGTCTTGGGATACCAGAAAGCGCAGCATGAGAAATCAATGGAAGATGCGCCTGACAATCAAAATGAGAAACATTGTCATGACATGTGTGATGGGACCCAAAGCAACGCTACTTGCGACAACGGGTGAAAACAAATGCCAACTGTAAAGGGCTATCTCGAAGGGAAGCTGGTTACCGTATTGGGGGATACCAATTGCAATACAGTAGTGGTGAAACGATCACTAGTTCCTGACTGCAACTTGACTGGCAACACCCGTACCATTCGCTTATTGGACCGATCTGCAAAAGTCTTACCAGAAGCAGAGGTGTACATAGATTCTCCGTTTTCAGAGGTCAGGTGCTTGCTGTTGTATGGAGAATCCATTGTATGAAGTCATGCTTGGCAACATTGCGGGTGTACTGTCAGCTGCCCAACCAGCCCCGAAGCAGCCAGCAGGACGTCCAAAACTAGCACAGACTCACCGTGATCCAGTATGCACTGAAGAAGAACCTGAAGATGCAACCTCATCAGATAGAAGACGACAAGACGACATGTCGGCGGCTGCAGGAAAAAAAAGGAAAAAGCCCAGTGAACTGATTGTTCCTCGGATCCAACCCCTGGATATCTGCCGGGAATCGCTAAAGAATTTACAGCACACAGATCCCACGCTGGAAACCTGCTTCGCCGCATTGGGAAAGATCATATCTAAGAATCCAGCAGTCACTGAGTTTGTGCTGGTACGCGACATTCTTTTCCGGCGCCACCGCACGGCAGAAAGGCGAGACTTGGAGCAACTTGTAGTACCCAAGGATCTTCGGAAC